GGCCACTCTGCCATAAAGCCCCGACTGGTGGGGGGCTGCAGTGATGGTTGACTTTCTACAACTTTCTCCCATCTCCTGACTGCATCTCTGGAGCTCAGCTACAGTCATCTTTGGGTTCTTCTGTACCTCTCTCACCAAGGCTCTTCTCCCCCGATAGTTCAGTTTGGCCGGACGGCCAGCTCTAGGAAGGGTTCTGGTCGTCCCAAACGTCTTCCATTAAAGGATTATGGAGGGCCCTGTGCTCTTAGGAACCTTAAGTGCAGCAGAAATTTTTTTGTAACCTTGGCCAGATCTGTGCCTTGCCACAATTCTGTCTGAGCTCTTCAGGCAGTTCCTTTGACCTCATGATTCTCATTTGCTCTGACATGCACTGTGAGCTGTAGGGTCTTATATAGACAGGTGTGTGGTTTTCCTAATCACATCCAATCAGTATAATCAAACACAGTTGGACTCAAATGAAGGTGTAGAACCATCTCAGGGATGATCAGAAGAAATGGACAGCACCTAAGTTAAATATATGAGTGTCACAGCAAAGGGTCTGAATACTTATGACCATGTGATATTTCAGTTTTTCTTTTTTAATAAATCTGCAAAAATGTCAAAAATTCTGTGTTTTTCTGTCAATATGGGGTGCTGTGTGTACATTAATGAGGAAAAAAATGAACTTAAATAATTTTAGCATATGGCTGCAATATAACAAAGAGTGGAAAATTTAAGGGGGTCTGAATACTTTCCGTACCCACTGTATACTGAATTATCTGTCAACCTTGTGTGTTATAGACTGTGTGATGCCTTGATTCTAACCTGTGTGTTTTGTTGGCTTTGGCTTTACTTATGTTTTGAGGTAATACTGACCCAAGTATGGGAAGCAGCAAAATTACCTAATTAGTTATTTATTAATTTATACAAATTAATTAACTTCTGAACTTATTCACGCCCAAAATATATAAACTATTGGTGAGGTACAGTAGCCTTTTCAGTTTGATACAAACTGAGCTTTTGATGAAGGCAAAAACAAACACAAAAAAACCAAAACAAAACAGAAATGACCAGAAAAGCACTGTCTTTCACAGAATACATAAACACTGTTATATGAGTTAAGCATAAAAATATATATTGTCTTGTCAAAAACATATTAACAAACCATGTAGTAAGCGTGTTTCCTACATGTTGACATGTAGGAAACATTTGGGTCCGTTAGACCCCTAGAGGTCTAACTCCCTGTTAGAACTTCTTTGAACAAACCCCAACAACAGAATTGAAAATTCTAGTGCTGATATTTTCAACACAATTCGCTTTTAAATAACCATATATTACAGCTAACATGACACCAACCAAACAGAGCTAATAACTCTTTTACTGTGGACTTAGTTCTGTTTTTTCAAACAGTTATCAGAAAGTTAGGAAAAATTTGTTAATATCTAGATTCTAAAATAATCGGAATATTTTTGACTGCTTGAACTTCTTCAGCACCCCAAAGAGAAAATTTGTTCTTCGGGTAAGTGCTCGGTCAGTTTCACATGCAGTAATGCCAGAGAGCCTAAGGTGCTCTTCCAAATAATATGCAACTAGTCATAGAAGAGGATATATTTTTAAGCACTAAATAAGTAATGAAAAATGAAATATTAAAAGCATTTGATGAATCAGGCCTGTTACTGCAAAGCTATTATTCACGACAAAACCACAAGTGTGCAGTGTATCAATTCATTTGCACTGGTAAATGTACCTTGAACCCAAAGGACAGAGCAAGTGAAGGATTTTAGTAGAATTTTATTATTTGGATGTCTGCTCTGCTCATAGAAATAATCAAACATATATAGATGGGTGTATGTTTGTTGTACACAAGCAACATGCTGTATTATGTCACACACAACCCACAGAATTGACAATTTAAGCAATAAAATTTTATCATGAGTCTATGCAATTATTGTGAGTTCTAACTGGCATCAGCAAGGTACACCTCCCATTCATTCTTACAAACAAGTCACTCATACTCCCTCCTCCATGCACACACACAAACATACTTCAGTCATCCTGCTAGAAGCAACACGCCCGTCTATGTTGATCATCATTAATTATTCAAATTAATTCCTAATCACTGAAAAGGGAGGATAGACAAACACTCATTTCCATAGATATTTGCCTCAAACCTTTTTTTCATGACTATTAACCAAGTGATGAATTGGGGCATGATGTTTATTTATTTATTGAATGCTTTTGATTTCCAATGTGGCGTTGTAAGTTTCAAACATATTCTAATGGTTGTTTTCCCCTTACCTTTTATTTTTCATTAACGTTCATTGAAACATCTGGTTCACTTGAATGGGCCATCTGCATGTGCTCCACAATCAAACAAAGCATGAATACTAATCCTTAAATTGTCCGTTCAGTGCGTTTTTTATAGCCATGTTCTGACTGCAGATGCTTCATGATGGTGACGCCTATAGCAAAAAGGTTGAGCCCAATTTTTATGTGCTGAACTCAGTGTTCATCCTAATTATGTACATATATTTTGAGTCTGCCTGTCTTGCAGCTTGTTTATTGTGTGCTGTTTTCCAAATTGTGAGCAGTCAATTTCCATCTCATTTCTTATTAATGTAATTTCACCATTATTTAATCATATTGCTTACAGACACATGTTAAAAAGTCAGCTGAAAAAGCAATTAAAGATCCAATCTGGAATCTGTGTTGAGATAACTTTATGCATGATGATGCCGCCAAAGAGTTTGCCTTGTGAAAGGAGGAAGTAATTATCTTTATTATTTTGAATTCATAACCCAGTGATGTTACACAGCAGCGTATGAGTACCAGCCCATTTAGCATTTAGGGCAGGCAGGCAGTCAGCTGATGGAAACACGCAACTCACTGATGCAAAGCTCGACTCATATGAATCTTATAATTTTGTAGTTTTAATAATGAATTTCATGCAGCCCATTGTTGCGCATATCACTGTCAATCAGATGACCTGGTTAAACCATGACAAACACAATACAGACACTACTGGATTTGACTTGATGTGTTTCATTGATAGAGGTATACTTTTGTCCTCGGCCACCTACATGTGTACCCTACACTTCCTGTTGTGAAAGGCTACTTGTGTATCAGCGTTATCCAGTACCATCCTGCCTGGCACAGTAAAAGGGCGAAGGCAATTTTATAATGCAGATTATAATCATTTGCCAGTAATATTGTGTGGATATAATGCTTTCCATTTGTGATGTCATTATGAAGAAACCCGACGAATGTCTGTTTGAGATAAAATGTGACCTTATTAAATGTATTAGATGCCACTAACACAGAGTTTGGCTCTTTTTTCTGCTTCACTTGTTTCACTCAGCATATTACTGTAGCTGTGGGTCCTTTTTTTTCTTACCATGTGGCTGCATTATTAGTTCTCAGTTTGGTTATATTGCCTCCCAGTAATATACATTCTTGCCCCAGTGTACTGTTTATGTTTTGAAAGGTAAGTGAGTGTGCAGCTGTAGAGGAGTGAGTGAGCCCAGGAGCCTGAGTTAACAGCAGCTTCATGCAGCGATAATGTACAAGCATTTAAAAAAACAGATGGGCTGAGTTACCTGCAGTCCTGTTGTTGTTATACAACTTTCATAACTATAACCAACATTGCCAGTTCCCTCTTAATGTGCATTTGGTAATGCTATTCCTTGCAGGCTAGCTAAAAAGGGCTGGGGTTACATAATTCCATCAACATACTAGTGGTGAGCAACACTCATTAACAGAGTTAATATTTGGTCTTCTGATATGTTTGTTTTTTTTTTTTTTGGTCCTTCCAGAAAACCTGATGCACATTAACAGAGGGAGATTACCTCGGGTGGACCAGCACGTGGGTAAACTGTTGCAGCTCTACCTGCTGGCCCACCTGAGGTAATCTCACTCCATTGCTGTCAGGATTTCCATCTAAACTGTAGCACTTGCAGGCAGTCCACATGCACATTAAAAAAGCTACCATCTCACTCACAGCTGTGACCTCAGTCTTTCATTTTCACCAAAACTCAAGCAATTAGAAACAAATACATCATAAACTAAAGGAAAATTAATCTGTTCAAATTAATTAAATATTAATGAGTTATAATGAATATGTTGGGTACATTTTTTTAAAGATGGTGTAAGCAGCCTCAAAGCCAGCTACACAGGTTCTGTTCATACACTGCAGAGTGTTCATGTATATTCATCTAATTAGGATGTGAATGTCTTGTTGTTTCAGCTCATGTTTAGATGTCACAGTTTACTAAGTGGCCCAGACATCTCAGCCAAAAAGCAAGACTGATTTCCTCAAAGATTAAAATATTCAAATATCTCCCTTCTATTATCCAGTAATTGCATTTATTTGAATTCTTTTTGGCTTTATTTCCATTTTTCCATTCTTAATGTCCAAAGAGCAAAGTGTTCTTAAATGGATTATTCTGGTTAAAAAAGAAAAAGAAGAAGAGAAGGAGAATTTTGAACACTCAGTCAAAATCTCATTAATTCACAGTCATTGGAGATATTACATTGTTTTACATCATATAAAATGGGTGATACGATTTGTTGTGTGTTGTACTGTAACTCCTGTAAAATGCCTTCAGGTGATAATTAAAAATCGTAAAAATTTGTTTTTATAATTAGTTAATTTGTTGTAGTAGTAAATGTAGTTTTAGCTATTAGTTGAATCACTGTCAAAATATTTCATCTTAGTAGTGCATAAATTGTATGTTAATTTTCCACTGCATATTGCACGTTGTATAGCTACACTCTAAACATTCTGTTGTTTATTAGAGGTCTGAAACACAGTTCAGTCTGGCAAGATCAAAATAGACCTTACAATTGAGGTAGAACCTTATAAATGTGCATCTACTGACAGGTGACAAATTAAAGGAACAAACTGAATAAATGAGTGGTCTCTGAAGTGCCCCCATCCAAATGACATGAGGAGTCATTGAGTGGTTTGATGAGCATGAAACGTGTGAATCATATACTGTGGCCGTCACAGTCACCAGATCTCAACCTAACTCAACACTTGAGAGATTTTGAAGGGACATGTTAAACCACCACCATCAAAACACCACATGAGGGCATTTATATTTTAAGAATGGTGTTCATTCCTCCAGTAGAGTTCAGAGACTTGAAGAGTCAATGCCAAGGCGCGCTGAAGCTGTTCTGGTGGCATGTGGTTGCTTACCACCTTACTGAGATACTCTATGTTGGTTTTTCTTTTCATTTGTCACCTGTCTGCATGTACAAGTTAGACCCTTCTGAGGTAAATGTATTCCTAACTGTCATGTGAACGTACTTACCTAGAGACTCGATCTGATAGTGATAACCCACTACTTGACTTGAGGTGATTTGGTAAACTCATTTATCTAACTTGAAGCAAGTAAGGAAAAAGGATTATGTTCAAATGCTAAAAGGTTCTGGCCCTGTCAAGAAGAAATAACCCTTAGCTGTCTCATTGTGAAGCCAATTTTTTTTTTCTTTTTGTCCCACTATGGGCATTCATTACATTTTGTAATACATTATGCTCTCCATTGGTTAGAAACAGACAAAGAATTTGCACACTGTATTAATAGCACCCATTAAATTTAATGAAGCAACGTTGGGTCTCATAGAGATCTTTGTCAGGCTTTGTCAGGCAAACAATGAATAACATCACAAAGAGCTCTCATGGTAAGCCTGGCCCACAGAGGTGTCTTCCTTTTGTCTCTCTCTCTCTCTTTTTAAGTCACAGATTACACTGCACTTCTCTATTATTGCATGTGGAGCATTAAGCAGGCTATTTTTAGTGCAGTACAGAGCTGCAGTAAGTAACTTGAAATATCTATCTCACACAGGTGAATCTTGAAACCAAATTGTCAAACATGCTCAGAAATGACTTCCAGTGTGGGCTGCTTTGTCTTTTAATTCATATTAAGTTGGAGCAACACAACACTCACAAGTTTGTGCCCACTGAATAAAAAAGCTTAAAATTAGAGAGCTGTACTTACCTGAGTTGGGGTCTATGGAGAAATATGGTTGTCCCTCCAGTATGCTGTAGACCAGTTTAGCACTGTTCCCATACACTGGATCATCGGCATCTGTAGCTGTTACCCGGGTAACTGGGGTACCTGTGGGGCAGAGACAGAGCTGTGAACTGTAACTCAATTGACAACGATACCCTGTATTGCCATGGACTGAAATTTGGAAGTGATGAGTTAATTAGATTGAGACTATTTGGCTCTATGAGGGGTTGATTTGCTCTGTATCAGATCCGCTTGATATCTGCAAAGCACCGCCAATTTGTTCAGAAGCGTATATAAAATCTGAGTGTTTGTGAGAGTGTATATTTTTAATTAAGTAAAAACTTAAAAATGTAACATGCACAAAGATTCTTAAATGCATACAGCACTATTAATTTTAACTATGTACATGGAGCAATAACTTTCACAAAAGCCATCACATTTCAAATTAGAAATTGTGGCAGGTATGGAATTGTGCATCACAAACATTACAGCCACTCTGTTTTTGAAACAAGAGGTAACAAATGGTTTGTTATTGCGACTGGAAACTGGTGGAAGCTAGGTGAAATCAAAAGGCTGAAATAAAATATAATTTTTTTTTTTTTGAGACCCAAACAAAACTTTTTTCAAGAATAGTAATGAAATGATAAACAACATAAAAGCAATAGCTTACAATTTTTTCCTCTGTAAATGTGGGTCCAAATTTAGCAAAAGATATTATTGCACCAAGGAATAAAGAGGGAAATAGGGAACTGATGAGTGATGATAATGCATATTATGTTTCTTAGTGGCGTCAATGAATATGAGGTATAGTTTAAAAAATAAAGGTCAAAGAAATTATTGAAACTATTATTAAACTGTTATGTCTTTTTAAGAACAGGGACATTTCTTAATCAAATGAAAATTGCTAAAGTAAATTTGTTAAATAACACAGGCTTATATTTTCCAATTAAAGACCAGTCTCTTTGCTTCCACAATTTTCAAAGATATTGGAAAAATTATTTGTTATAAAAATGTGATAATTTTATTCAAAAGTATAACATTCTTATTATTGGATTTAGAGGGAATTACACCACAGGGTTTGAAGAAACTTGTAGAAAAAATAGCTACAGAAATATGTTTAAAAATTAAACTGTAGGCATTTGTACAGATTTTAAAAATGCATTTGACACCATAGACCACAAACTGATATTACAGAAATTGCACAGTTATGGCATTAGAGCAGTATCACATTCATGGCTATGTCACTTTATGGAAATAAAAGGTGGCAATATAAATAACTTTGAATCTGAGTAAACTGTAGGGTTCCTCAAGGATCAGTTCTTGGGCTAAAATTATTTATTCTGTATATTTATTTAGTATTTGTTAAGTCAGAATGCTCAATATATTCTGTATTGCTCAGTTATTGGTCCATATATTGTCTAGAAATATGGGAAAACACATATAAAACCTATACTCATGCAATCTTCATATTGCAAAAAAGACTAATTAAATCATTATATAAAGTGCCATCTAATCCTTTATTTATGAAATTTCAGACATTAATATTTTATGACTTGAAAGGATATAGGCGTGTACAATTAATGTATAAAGTACATCAGAATATGTTACCATCTAACATTTTGCATATGTTTGAAAAGAAAGGTTTTCAGTATCACCTGAAAGGAATATTTATGTTTAAAAAGCCAAGAGCAAGGACAAATGTTAAAAGTAGATGTGGATCAATAATGGGGGTAAATTTATGAAATAAGTTGGAAGATTAATTAAAAAAATGTTTTACTCTTCAAAAAAGCAAGGTATAAAATGTTAATTGATAAACCACTGTAGTAATTGTATTGTTTTACATTTAGATATAAGTTATTGTGTACTGAGACATAAACGTGCACTTATCAGTTGGTCTGGTTTACATTTAGATATAAGTTATTGTGTATTGAGACATAAACATGCACTTATCAGTTGTACTTATGTGTACTTATGTGCTGATACATTTTGTATTAATGAGAAATATGTAGTTTGGATATATTGTAATATAGTATGATGCTTACATGTAATAAGGGTAGGCACAATCAGCATCGGCTTTGGCTTACACCTTTTTGGTCAATTCTGTGTTGTTCTGAACACACTGTGTAGCTATAGTTGGCAAATATATTTTGCATGTGAATATGTACATGGTCTAAATATGGATTTTGATGTTTTATTTTTTGTTTGTTTTAAAGATTAAAAAAGTTAAACTAAACAAATCTTTGTACAGTCTCCAATCACAATGAAATAAGAAACCAATTTAATATTCCAGTCTTTTTGAGTCAAAACTAAAAGCAACATATTTAACCCGGCAGAAAAAAAAGAAGAAGAAGATGAATAAAAACAACCTTTTCTGGTAATATGACACCCCATATCCTTAATTCATCTCCACTTCAAATTTGTGCACTTCTGATGTCAAAGTGTCAGTTACTCATGGAAAACGTGACCGGAGTTCAAATGAAATATAATATAATAGGTGTCAGGCCTAAGTGAGCAAACCAGTCACGTCACTGTTGATTAGTCATCTCACTGCTTGTTAAACTAGCTGCTGGATATGTAAGCTAGTGTGCAAAGCAACATGACATTGATGGATGTATCACATACAGTACTTAGTGTAACACAGCAGGAGAAGTCACCATATATACTAATGGTCAAATCACATGTTTCTGGGCATTTATTGGTCTCCAAGAACCACAGACTCTGAATATGTGATGTACACAAAAGGTGAGTTCTGTCACCTGAAAACACAGGACAAAAGATAATTGAAGGCATCTTAGAGCAAATTACAAGTCTTACCACATAAGGACAACACTTTACCTACTGTAAAGTGTTTGCCTAATTAAAAGTTTGGCTATGTTAATGTGACTGTTGGCACAGATATCACTACTTCTTACACGCTAGCGCAATTAGCCATTACGTTAACACCAACAGTACTCAATGTAGCAGTAATGAGGTTCTTTATTAAACCAGCACTATGAGATTTCCAGAAAATGAACACAAGGACCTTTATCAATATAGCGGCTCTGCCAAATGCTCAAGGCAACTCAGAAAACAGATTTAGTGACAATTCAATTTAGCTTTTATGGCTCCATTATATGGCATCAGAAAAAAAATGCACAAAAAACTGAATATAAAGACAATATAAATGCAATTAAACTCATCAATTTTAATTCACAGTGACCTCGCTCTTAATCAGTCTCAGTGTGAGGAAGTGTGTGTGTGAGGGAGAAAAAAAAAAGAGAGACAAGAAGCTGACAGTGAGCAACACACTGGCAGGAAATTGCAGATGTTGCAGTAATTATTTCAGTAAAAGATGTTTGGAGGTGTTCAGACAACAAAGGGAGATATCCCTTGCCGCAGACAACACTGGTCCTGCCACAGGCATGTACTGTAAGTCTGTCCACTGCAGACAAAAAAAACCAAGTGTGAGTTTTGGCTCTGACACTGATTCAGAGGTTCCAGTCATGAATTAAAACCAAATGAATGAATGAATGCCTGCGTGCATAGTGTCAGGTGTGATGGAAACACTGTCAGTGGAATATTTACAGTGTGTAACCCACACATCAAACATCTGTATTCTCTTGGTGTATTGGCTTTTGCTGCCTCTACAAGCACTGAAACAACTCCCAACTGACCTGCTGGCCAATGTGCTGCAGAGTGATGATTTAAGGTACATCTAACCTGCAAAGAGTTCCAAACAAACTCTGGGAATAGATGTTTTATCCCACATAATAACAACAACAAAAACATTTCACACAGTACCCCAGCAGAACAGGGAGCACCTACACAAAAAATTGTTTCAGATCCACATGGTAGAGTTTTTGAACTTATCTCCCTCTGTATGCCATCAGCTACATGTCAACCATTGATTAATAGTCACCACCGTGTCTGTGATTGTGTGACAGCAAAACAAAGCAAAAGCCACATCTGCACTCTGACTGGAGTAGCAGTTTCACTGTTGCAACCCAATTATTTCTCAGCAAGAGAGCCTCAAGTGATCCTCTGAGACAGAGTTGTTCTAGTAATTCATAGTCTTATGATGACCTGTGCTGCTGTGTTGCCAAAGCTTACCTTGTAAATTTCATATTGCTTGTTATACCCCATGCCTTTTGCAGTGTTTAGCTCACAGCAGATCAATGAGCTCTGTTTCTTTCGGTGATTCTGCTTGCTGCGATAGCACTAGTGAAAACTTGAAGTCAGCTGCTTTCTCTACTTAAATCTACTGAACTGTCACTTAGATCACTTACTTCCATTTTACATGAGATAAACTGTGAGCATAATATGCCAATTATCAAGGTATAACAGCAATAAGTCCTCCAACATGTCCCTGCCTTAAAATATGTCCCATAGGACCATACGTGCAGACTTTCCCAGCCTTCTTCATCCTGTTAACATATTGTAGCATAGAAGACCTTCACTGTCATGGAAATAATTATAAACACACAAACATAATTTTGGGGCTGTAAAAAGTCATCATCATGTTTACAATATTAATAAGTTTAAAAACCACAAAGTTTCACACTGGAATCTAACATCCGTCTCCTCTGGGAAAGTTATGTGTTTTCTGACTCATCCATCCACCCCCACCTCTTCCTAATGTGAACTTTGCTGCTCTCCATAGTATGTCACCGAATGGTCTCCTTTGCTCATGTCATACTACAGTCACCTTACTACAACGCATTACTGTTGGTTGTAATTACCTGCTAGCACAAATGAGACATGGACTTGATGTTTACAGAAGAATTGTCTCTTTAATAGCTATTAACATATTATTGCATTAACTGTACACCCCATAAGCTGCATTTTGTCGAAAATCACATTTACAAAGACTTAAATTCTATTCATCACATAGTATAACACAATGTGTTAGATAAGTAACTAAATTATCAAATAAATTGGTTAACAGAATGTAAGGAAACAATTATATCCCACAGATGTGAGAAATAATCCAGATCTTTATGTTCATGCAGTGATGCCAGGAAGCAAATGTTATCCGGTGTGCAATAGGTGTTTGCCAATTGTCAAATGACTAAAATGAGAGACAGCTAAGGAAATTCTTCTTCTTCAGAGGTACAGGGTCTTATCTG